AGGACTGAGGCTGTAGACCCAGGACTGAGGCTGTAGACCCAGGACTGAGGCTGTAGACCCAGGACTGAGGCTGTAGACCCAGGACTGAGGCTGTAGACCCAGGACTGAGGCTGTAGACCCAGGACTGAGGCTGTAGACCCAGGACTGAGGCTGTAGACCCAGGACTGAGGCTGTAGACCCAGGACTGAGGCTGTAGACCCAGGACTGAGGCTGTAGACCCAGGACTGAGGCTGTAGACCCAAGACTTGGGCTGTAGACCCAGGACTGAGGCTGTAGACCCAGGACTGAGGCTGTAGACCCAAGACTTGGGCTGTAGACCCAGGACTGAGGCTGTAGACCCAGGACTGAGGCTGTAGACCCAGGACTGAGACTGTAGACCCAGGACTGAGGCTGTAGACCCAGGACTGAGACTGTAGACCCAGGACTGAGGCTGTAGACCCAGGACTGAGGCTGTAGACCCAGGACTGAGGCTGTAGACCCAGGACTGAGGCTGTAGACCCAGGACCCAGACCTGGTGTTTCATGTTGACATGTGCCTTTTTCAAACCCACAAAGATAAGTAGTAAAAGTAGAAAGTAAAGTGAAGTCCACTGTTCAAACTTTCCATCTTCAGTAAATTCTCCTTATTCCACACAGTCCTCGGGGCTCCAGCCTCTTTGTTATGTCAGATCTTAATCACCGTCCGGTCTCGCTGCAGCCGCCGGGGCCTGGACCAGGTGGGCGAACAATCATAACACCATAAAACCATCAGTGGTGTAAATGTTACCTTGGGTTTTCCATCACTAATGATTCCATGTTAAAGATATTGTGGACAGTGAAGCTAATGTGCTAACGGTCAGCAGCTCTGGGATCTGCTGTTATTATTACCTGCTGTAATAAAGTCTGGACTCCTGAGTTTGCCCACAGCTTTATCACATCCTGAGCCAGGAGCACAGCCGCAGGTCGCTACCAGCTACACAGGAGCAGATTAGAAAACCACAGGAGCAGATCACAAAACAAAGTTTCTCTCACTTGTGATGTGTAAAAATAGATGTGTCAGAAGAAAGCCGAGGGTTACGTGTGTTTGTACAGACGTGTGGAAGCTGTGACCCTTTGTACAGACGTGTGGAAGCTGTGACCCTTTATACAGACGTGTGGAAGCTGTGACCCTTTGTACAGACGTGTGGAAGCTGTGACCCTTTATACAGACGTGTGGAAGCTGTGACCCTTTGTACAGACGTGTGGAAGCTGTGACCCTTTGTACAGACGTGTGGAAGCTGTGACCCTTTGTACAGACGTGTGGAAGCTGTGACCCTTTGTACAGACGTGTGGAAGCTGTGACCCTTTGTACAGACGTGTGGAAGCTGTGACCCTTTATACAGACGTGTGGAAGCTGTGACCCTTTGTACAGACGTGTGGAAGCTGTGACCCTTTGTACAGACGTGTGGAAGCTGTGACCCTTTGTACAGACGTGTGGAAGCTGTGACCCTTTGTACAGACGTGTGGAAGCTGTGACCCTTTGTACAGACGTGTGGAAGCTGTGACCCTTTGTACAGACGTGTGGAAGCTGTGACCCTTTGTACAGACGTGTGGAAGCTGTGACCCTTTGTACAGACGTGTGGAAGCTGTGACCCTTTGTACAGACGTGTGGAAGCTGTGACCCTTTTATACAGACGTGTGGAAGCTGTGACCCTTTATACAGACGTGTGGAAGCTGTGACCCTTTGTACAGACGTGTGGAAGCTGTGACCCTTTGTACAGACGTGTGGAAGCTGTGACCCTTTGTACAGACGTGTGGAAGCTGTGACCCTTTGTACAGACGTGTGGAAGCTGTGACCCTTTGTACAGACGTGTGGAAGCTGTGACCCTTTGTACAGACGTGTGGAAGCTGTGACCCTTTGTACAGACGTGTGGAAGCTGTGACCGTTTGTCCAGAGGAGAGCTACAGGAGAGCTCCTGTGGTGCCTGTGGTCAGTCTGGTTCCTATGGAGCTGTTTCTCTCTGGTTCCTATGGAGCTGTTTCTCTCTGGTTCCTATGGAGCTGTTTCTCTCTGGTTCCTATGGAGCTGCTTCTCTCTGGTTCCTATGGAGCTGTTTCTCTCTGGTTCCTATGGAGCTGTTTCTCTCTGGTTCCTATGGAGCTGCTTCTCTCTGGTTCCTATGGAGCTGTTTCTCTCTGGTTCCTATGGAGCTGTTTCTCTCTGGTTCCTATGGAGCTGTTTCTCTCTGGTTCCTATGGAGCTGTTTCTCTCTGGTTCCTATGGAGCTGCTTCTCTCTGGTTCCTATGGAGCTGTTTCTCTCTGGTTCCTATGGAGCTGTTTCTCTCTGGTTCCTATGGAGCTGTTTCTCTCTGGTTCCTATGGAGCTGTTTCTCTCTGGTTCCTATGGAGCTGTTTCTCTCTGGTTCCAATGGAGCTGTTTCTCTCTGGTTCCTATGGAGCTGCTTCTCTCTGGTTCCTATGGAGCTGTTTCTCTCTGGTTCCAATGGAGCTGTTTCTCTCTGGTTCCTATGGAGCTGCTTC